AGGGCGAGAAGTACGGGAGCTCTAGCACATCCTGAGATCGCTTGTGCCGCTATAGCCACAGATGGAACACACTACTTTGACAAGAACCTGAGACAAGCGTCATTGCACATGACTGAAGTACCTCTGCGCACGGAAGGCTCCAGCAAACTCGTATCTGCACTGGCTAGGTACGACTTTTTCAAATCTGGCGCAGTTTAGGACTTTAAGCGTTGAAGACTTCGTTAGTATTCAAAGAGCCGAGTCATATCGAAAGAAATGTTTGAAAAAATAGTGAACGTCAGCGAGCAGTGGACGTAAGAATGTGTTGTCTGTTTTTAGCCAGCCGCTAGCCGTCTGCACTTCCGGCCATCACGCAATCTCATCAGAGAGCCGAATGGGCGCCAGGGATTTCACTGCCATGCCCAAGGTAAGATCGGGGGCCTTATGGGAGTCTTATCTTATTTTTGTGCTTGCGTTCATTCTAGAAGAGCAATTGTGTACTTTGCATAGTAACCCCCAATTTTTTTAGGGAACCGTTGGAGTAGAAGAGCGAATGTGTGTTGTATGGGAAAAAGCTGTTCGCACTGGACGAATTGACCCTATGCGATTTGTAGCTGTAACGTCAACGAATGCGGCGAAGATGTTCAACATGTACCCTAAAAAGGTAAAGCATATTTTACAGAAGATGCACTAGCAGGAGCCGGCATAAATTCCTTTCTAGGCCTATTGAGAACGAAGTTCTTCTTGACTTTCGTGAAATTTTACGAAGTTCCTTTGACTCTCAGCCCGAAAAGTTAGAATCCTTCAAAAAACGAAAGGTCGATTCAAAAAAAAAACGTCGCAATTTTTGGTCACAAAAACGATATCTTTGCTTTTTCGCCCCTAAAATGAAGTCCAGCCTGCTTCCATAGATCTGTGCCGGGCCCTGTGCGCAAATTTCGATTTTTACCAAAAATTTGTGTGGATCTCTTATGGAAGAGCTCCAACTAAAATGTTGACACCTCATATCAGTTTCTCAATCTGAACTTCAAGAAAGTTCAATGATTGTCATACCTATGGGATTTACTCGATTTACTGGCCTCCTGGAATTTCTTCAAACCATTGCAATTGGCCCCCTACTCACCACAAGGTTTGAACTGGAAAATTGTTTTGTTTGACATGAATTTTTTCATCTTTGGCCGTCAAAT